CATCACACCTTCTCGGGGCCAAAGAGCGGCTCCGCCCATCACTCTTTCCTCTAGCTGCCCTCATTCTAAATTGTGTACACGCACTGTAAGACATGCTTTATTGTATATGAGGATAATAAAACTGAAATCGAGAAACAAAAAAAAATTCTAGGTTTCAAAAGGTTCAGAATCCGCAGGTGAATTGCAGCATTTGGAGTTATGTTTTACTCATGTTTTCGGATAGATTGACGCTTCCTTAAACGTTTAAGTGCTCGCGCCTGACTAAGTTTGTGAAACATATCGCATCAATTTAAATTAAGCAGAAGTTATGATTCTTCCAATCATGGTATATAACAGAGAAGTTAGTTTGTTTTACGCAAGTTCTGAAATCATCTAAGAAGATAGCGAATTACCATATCTTGTAAATTCAGTGTCGTATTTGGAACTCTTAGTCAACTGCGATCATGCGACGAAGTTTGGTAATCTATTATATTAGATCGATTGTAGGAAATACAAAATTTTTTTATGATAAATTGGGCCTTACTGATCATCAGAGTAATCGGAATGAAAAACTCTTCGAATATATTATGATGGCAGACGATAAAAAAACATGCGTTTGGATATCCCATCTGTTGGATAAAGCGTTAAGTGTTTGTTCGGAAACTTTGATGCACTTCTTTCAAAATAGGTCCTTCTATTGTTGATAAGGAATTGGGTTCTGAAGCTCCTGATGCTAAATTACTTCAACCAGATGACCAGTAAGGTGCGATTTATCACTAGATCCTCTAATATTGCGAATGACCGCATTTTCCATTCAAAAAATTCTCTGTTATTTTTCTCTTCTTAAAGTAATGTTCATGTGCTCTTTTTCAAAAGGATGGCATAGCAGAAGTTTCCAAGCCGCCTCACTTAAGAAATGATAACTATGTTAGGTTTTTTCTCCATTTTTTTCTCTTATTACCTTAATAACTGAATCTACGTTCTCGCTGCTTTCACGCCTCACAATGAGACCAGTAAATGGGAGGAGCAATGGGCGGGTCCTGACCTCCGAGTCCCGGAGGTGCTAGAACCCTCCTGGTGCGGAATGCTGGTGCGAAGTTGGTGCGAGGAAAGGTGCTAGGAACCCCTCCTTCTCGACGCACCGCAGTGACGCTTCTAAGTTTTAGCGTTTGAGGCGAAAGGATACAGCTCATACACTGGAAAGAGGATAATGCTAGGTTGTTCGGAAAGTTCTGTCTGGTTGGTACTTGCCTTGTTTTAACGCAGTTAGTTTCTTGGAGTTTTGTACTTGTTGCAGAAATATGAACATAGTTTGAATATACTTTTCTTGCCCTTTCTACTGCTCACAAATGCTTGACAGAACATCTTCTTCATGACAAGAGTCCAATCCGAAGCCAAACTACCAAAATGCAGTTATGCTCAAGGAAAAGTTGCTATGAAGAGAATTCCCGCAGTATTCGTAAAATTGAATATGTAATATTTAGAACAAAGCTAATCTCTTACTTTTTCAATTTTTTCTCAAAGGTGGAAGACAAACCTAGTTATTCGAAAAGTAACAACAATCTACGTACAGCAAATGGTGGTGCACTGAGTAATGCATATGAAAGGGTAAAGCGAAAACAAGCAGGGACCATAAGCCAGTTAGCTTTCTTCGTTCGCGATAACAAAAAAATCAAGTACTACAAGACCTATTTGCGCGCGCGGAGAAAAGCTCAAATAATGTTTTTTTTGTACAGCAAAGATTGCTCGAATTGTCTTTAGCCGTAAACGAATCTCTTAAGTATAGGCTACTTAATGGTGGCGGCCAAGTAGCCCGCATCTCCTTATATGGAAGCATAAGTACGTCAAAATGGGAGGTTTTGAAGGAACGCTGCAAGATCCCCCAAATTTTCTCTTCTCTATCGCTTGATTTGTTTACATGTCATACTGTGCTTTTGATGAAGATAATCTCGCTTAATCCAACAAATTTTGGGCAAAAATGTTATTTTTTAAGAGATTTATAACATTTTTGAGCAGAAAATCTGCGACTCGAACAGAGCTTCCGCAACAACCTAATACACGCATATGATGACGATATTTTCCAGTGTAACCAGAGAAACACAAAAACCATTTGAAAAATTAGTCAAGTTTTTTTGGAGCTTTAACAGTGCTATGCATTTAGTATCAAGGACGACAATCTCATTTGCTTATCGCGGTCGAAACCGGTTACTGTCTGCAAACCGTGTCTCAGGTGTTGTGTGACAAATTATGATACTTCTTTGCTGTGACGGATGTCTTTATAGCACGCCGAATTTGCGTATAATTTTATGCGGCAGATGATGCTTCGAGGTTGATTTACTTGATTGCTTAGAACTGTCTACATTCTGCATGTTATTTTGGCTTTGGACACGAGCATTTTGTAATACGGATGGTGACTGTTATAATAAATCCGGATTTAAATCTAATGCTACTCAAGGCTGTTGTCACGTTGCCTCATAGTGGGAGCCAGTTCCAACATTCTTTAACATGGCTATTAGACTGCTGCATGACTTTCGTCCTTATCTGCTTTTATGTGAAGCAGCTGTCCCAACAAAATTCTGGGCTTTGAAGGCAGTGGCTCAGCAAAACAGAACATCTCGAAATTTTGATATGTAAGGTTGCTTGCACCCCAAACATGAGAACTGAAGCAGGTCCGAGCGCATGGCATGCTGCCCCTGTCTAGAAAACTGCCCCTAAACCCTACATGCAAGCCATTCTTTCACGCGCTCGGACAAGCTTGCGATTTCCCTCTCACCTTTAGAGGAGGCATGCCAGCTTATAACCATGGAGGTCCCGCTACGAGTCTGCGGTTCTAACCATGGCGGAACCCGTGCACTCGTCCAGATTCAAAATGAGGGGTCTTAGAAAATGCTCGTTTTTGCCATTTTTGCGCTTTTAAGGTGGATTGAAGAGCGAAATCACCCAATCAATCATTTATCAGTTCAATGACACTGCACTATGATCCCAGGCGCTTGGATACAATTTCACTCAAAAACATGTTCTTGTACCTTTGATTCAAATGGTTTGGCGGCTGGAAGGCGAAGCTTCGTGGCTATTAAGGATAGGTAGGACCAGAGAACAAGCGCGCGGGAGAAACGCAGATTGCGTAGTAAGCGCGAGCGGCCTTAACAAGGTCACAAAGCCCCGCCTTTCAGCCTTCAAGCCAGTTGAATCAAAGTTTAAAAGACTCCTGCAATATGCTTCTCAAGTCATATCTTGCATCGTCACGGAGAGAGAATGTAATGGGCTAACATGCACAAAGTGTTGTTACAGCAGTGGCTCGGCAAATCATCCTAACGAATTCCCGCTTACCTAACGTTATCCCGCAGTTCCAAAAGTGCATGCTAGAAACTACAAAAATGGCGAAAACGAGTGTTTTTCAAGTCTTCATTGAGTAAATGAATGAAATTGTCTTTGCCAAAAATGGAACTCAGAGTTGCTGCAGTCTTTCAACATTAACCTCGGTACTCTGTCTCTAACAGTGAGAAGGAGATCGCGTTCTACGAGCTGCATGAGTTTAAGGGCAAACTTCTAAGCAGTGGGGTAAGCAACTCTCCATGTCAAAATCCCAAGATGTTCAAATTTGTCGAGCCACTGTTTCCAATAGACTTTGAGTATATCAGAATTTATGCAACCGCTTGTGGTGTGGTTTTGATAAGTACAATAAGAGCTCGCAGTTAAGGCAAGTGTACAAGTCTAACTGAAGAAAATATCCCATGAAGTGGAAGTGCTTCGGATGAGAGGATGGGATAAGTAATTGCCTGTGAGCATCTCTCCTTTCATATCTGGCATTTACTCCTTGACGCGTTTTGGCGTGTCAAGGAGCGAGAGCATGTTGTACATGTGTGTCTCCTGTTGTATACAATAGACCACCTGAGCATTTTTTGATTCTGAAAGAGGCCCCAAGATGGTAATTGAAGTACGCTTTTCAATTATATATCTGAAATTTGGGCCTTGAAAAGGCTAGGGAACGAGAATAACGTGCAAGTCGAGGATCAATTTGAACGGTGCTCTACAAAAACGGATTTATATCTGGCAACTGAATATGTGGATATAGTACGTGCGCCACTTGTTACTTTCTTTTCAAAAAATGTAAAATAGTTGCTATCATCACGTTCATGCGTGTAAACCTTGGTATTGTAAGATATCCAAAATGACAAGGTACTGTGAAGACCGCAAGTTTGAATATATCGTCATCTATTTTCTGCAATTGAGAGTATGAAATAAACAAATGATTTATCAAGTCTAGAAGACCACACGTCCAACATTCTACTTATTTCATTTTATATGCCCACAATCAGGTGCTGTTATTACGGTTGCTTTTTTATGAATTTTTGACAAAGTAACGTTACGATTGAAACTTTAGTGAATGGTCCTCTCAATCATGTAATCTCCGAATCTTTCTTACATTATTGGCATGAATAACACTAAATCACATGTATGTCTTTATGCACGTTTGCGAGCCACGACATTACTGGTGCAGCAAAAATGAACTAGGATCGGTCACCAACTCCTCTGAGAATTGATGGAGTTTACGCCTAGCTGTAATATCCAAGATTTATCGGTAGCTGTTTCTGCTATATAAAGTCTGATTTTTAAGTTTTTCAGCGTGTAGCAGAAGAAATTTTGTTTTTTCTTCTTCCAGGGTGTATCTCTTTCCAGTTCAGATCCGGACAAAAGTTGTAACCATGCAAAATGAATTGAATGATTTTTGCAATATCTTTTACAGTATCGTGAAATACATGATGACACCACTATTATTTTGACTGATTCGCATAAAAACTCCAATTACCGAGGAGTGTGATCGTGAGAATTTAAGATTTCCCACATTTTATTTGCGTTAATGATCAAATACAGCATCATCATCTCCTCTTTTTTTAGCTCTTTTAAAGATCAATTTTCATGTTTTCTTTTGTTTGCTTATTGTAAACATAAGCAGCAGCTGTTGGTTGATCGATTGATTGTAACTTCAGTTCCGCTCCTTATACACTCAAGTCAATTGATTTAGATGGGCGCAGGGAAGCGGACGGTGGTGGAATGCACCCTGATTCATCTACTTGTCACAGCCATTGCTGTTCTTTTAGCGTTGGCCGTCACATTTCTTCTAACGTATTTTCTTACCAAAGACGCTTATACTCCTGATACACAGTAAGTTTGGTGAGCATTCCAACTAGATTTGACTATTATATGAAAGCACACAAGCTACATTTCAACAACGCTTACAGTACAGAGTCTTGACTTACATAGCTTTGAGTACGAGCGACAATATTGACTTAAGACTGAGCCGTTTTGTATGTAAGGGCGTTCCTTCTACGTGAAGTCAGCCTCGTCGCCGCTGCTGTCCTGCTTTCATTCCACTCTAGTCTTCATCGTTTCAAAAATCTTGGGAAACATTGCAATAAAACGGTGGTACAAATCTTTTTGTATGCAGTTGATCTAAGGACACGAAATACTATTCTTTCATCAGCTTTAGCCATTGTCAAGCCTTTAGCCTGGCCAACGTTGAAAAAGGCTTTCACACGTAAAATATGGTTTTTTGAAAAGCAATTCTCATAAGAAGCAAATTCTGTGCCTTTCGCTCTTTGTTGTTGAGAATGATTCCCAATGATTTCGGTCTTTTGCATACCAAATTAGGTCTCAGAGAATTTATTCGGAATTTTCATCTCCTTGCTCTTTCTTGTGTCGATGGTTATGCTTAAATTTCCTCTGGAAGGTTTTTGTCTTCTGTTCAAGCGATAAACCACTAATGGGCTTATTTGCCTGATATCAAAGTTTGAAAGTGCAAAAAGCTTTGAATGATTACTAAGATGCGAATTATATGGGTTGATATATCACTTATTGAAGGACATTCCAGCTTATGGAGTTTATCAATCACGCTGAAGATAAATTGCAGTAAGGATGATCAAAACTTGCTATAAGCAGTTTTTTCAAAGAAAGTCGAGTAGTTTCATTGATTTTTCAGGAATGTTATTCTTCTCAGATCACTTTCTTATCTAGACTTTGTGTATGAATCATTATTGAGCAAAACTGACAATAACTGAAATGCGATCAAAAACAAATCTTCAAAAATGACTTTTGCGCGTTTTGATTTGCTGCTTTAACGGATATCTCCAATCCTTTCGTTGAAGGAAACGTGCTAAGTTTACAGCAAATCTGATCACTTCTTCCGTCGCACATTTCTGTCTCATCTCTGTTCTTCTCCAGCTGGAGTCAAGAAATGATTGAATTTGTTCTTTGCACAACGCACGACAAACTTCTTCTCTACATCTCTGTTGTTCTGTCGATCTCTAGTATTACTTCAATCAAAACGCAAGAAACGGCAATGTGAGTTACTTTCTATGAGCTCAAAATTCTGTAAGTGTTCACATCACCACGACTGCTTAAATTCTGTATCACATCTAAGATGCTTGTGATATTGGAGGGGGTAGAGGCTAAAACTTACAGTAAGATGGCTGTGTTCAATCAAATTAATGTCCTTATTCAATATAAAGTAGCGAGCAAGAAACTTTGGTTCTCACTCTACGTCTCATATAGCCGCATATAATTGCAATTTATCTTATGACTATTTTGAAAACATTACGGCTCCTCCCAAAAGGAAAGAGCTTATTTTGAAAACATTACGGCTCCTTCCAAAAGGAAAGAGCTTGTTAGAAGTTTTATAACCTAATGGTAAGCCTTCTAGGTTTTCTGCGTCTTCCTTGTTCAGTTTAGTTCATTACCATATGTCCATAAATGACCTTTAATTAAATCTGGAAAATTGTAATTTCAGTAGACACACTAGACGTACACCTGCCTTTTCTTGGCGAGGCACGCGAAATTTGCGGGAAAAACCGCAGTAATTCTCAATTTCACGAGTGCGCACTGACATACTCTAGATTTCATAACCATCTATTTTGAAGCGAAAACCGCTCATTCACTTCGCAAAATCACTAACAGTATTGATTGAGTCTTGAAATGTCTTGAAGATTTTGCAGCGCTTGGTGCACAGGTTATGCGTTTTTGCAAAAGTCAAGACTTTTAAAAAATTAAATAGCAAAATCCTAAAATTGTAGCTAAAAAAAAGAAAATTTGCTTCAGTTGGCAAGATTTGCTCTACCTGCCAGTGATGCTCCCTAAAAGTAGATAATATATTTGAAAATTAGCGAAAGTTGAAGATGGTAAAAACAAAACGACAAAACTTTTGAACAAATTTGATATATAGTTTATCTGTCCGCTGTCAAATAGTGTGAGGGTTTCCAAGATAAACTGTAACCTTTATAAATAAGTAGAGTGGTAGAGTGTTATTAAAGTTATTCAACTGTCCTGCCCGTCGCCTTCAAAAATATGTCAAAAATATGCTTTCGCTTGGGGACGAGCTGTTTTGAGATTTTTCATGTCACAAGAGATTTCGCTTTTCTTCCTTTCTTCTTGCCGAATTCGAACTATTAGGTTGTTACATAAGTCTTGTTACACTCTAATTTTTTACGACGATAAGTCGTAAACTTCATAATTGAGAGCGCCCAGGGTACCATTGGATAGAGCAAAATGAGCTCTACAGGATAATGTGCAAAAGTTCGCACCAGCTTCGAAAATTAGTAAGTTTGCGTCTGGAATCTGAGTCGTACTGAAGGCTCAAAGATTGAGGGAAAATCATATCTTCGTTCAAAAAAAAATTCTTCGCATCTCCAACTTGCACACAAAAATTGCACACTGCATCAGACACTCATTGTATGCCTGTATTTCTTCCTCATCTAAAAATCGAAAAGACAAAAATTTTCTTTTTTTTTCACAAAAACAAAGCTATGCTGTTTCTATTTATGCAGTTGTATACTACATGCCCTTGGAAGTATAGCCGTAAGTTTTCAGCTTTCCACAAGCCCTAGTTTTTGAAAAATGCCGAATTTAGCTTTTCTCACTCGGGTTTCAAATGCTAAATTCGTTTTTCTCAAAAACTAGAGCTTCTGGAAAGCTGAAAATTTACGGTTACAGTTTTGAGGGCTTGTGGTAAACAATTACATGAGTGAAAACAGCATACAATCTGCCCCAATCCTAACCAGGCCAAAATTGGCTTGGCGGGATTGCGGGTCGCGAGGATTTCGCGCCACTTCTGCGTCTAACTAGTCTGCTCTCTCCTCAATCTCTTCGCTCTCTGCGACAGCGCGCGTATGCAGTGCAAATCCTTAGCGCTGCGAGTGCGCAAATTCAACCAACGGTTCGGCCTGATCCCCATCGGAGCAGACTGTAGCTTTATTTTGCAAAGGCAAGAAAATTTTGGTTTTCTTCCTTTTTTTCATCTAAATTTCTAGATGAGGGAAAAATACAGGAACGGTGCATATGAGTGTTTGATGTGGTGTGCAATCTGTACGAGCAAGTTGGAGTTGCGGAGGATTTTAAACAAAGACGTGAATTTTTCCTAATTTTTTGAGCCTTCAGTGCGACTGACATTCCGAATGCAAACTTACGGTGGGTCGAAGCTGAGTGAACTTTTGCAGACCATTTTGTAGAGGTTGTTTTGCTCTGTCGAATTTTAGCCTGGAGCCCTATTGAATTTGTGTAGTTTACGGCTTTACGATTTAGCGCCATAATAACTGATAGTGTAACAAGACTTATGTAACAACCTAATAATTTCCTCCAGTTTTGAATAATGGTCAAACAGAGAGTTTTGTGCAAAGTAAAAAGGACGAATCTTAAAATGATATGAAACTTTCATAACAGTCTTCTGAACTGGTGAGAAATTCTCAGATTTGAGTTTCTGTGATTTATGGACACATGGTATTTCCATTACACAATTATTGATCGTAAACGCTCTTCATGAAATTCTTAGAAACCGTATTTTCTTCGTTTTTACGGTCTCTGAAAACCTATACAGGCTGGATTGATTAATTCGTAGAACATAAAAAATGGTCGCAACGATTTGATAAGCACTGATTTAACAGTGCACATTCAACAAATAAAGTGTTGATGTAATGCCCGAATTGCGACCGTGATGATGGGAAATTCCATTGGATGTAACTTGTTGCCATAAAAAACTTGCCTCTGTTGAATTGGATAATGATACATGTTTGTGGAAGGTTTTCTTGCCGTAAATAAGCAGGGAATTGTACGGAACTTCGAAAGCAGGGGCCCATATGATAAAACGCTTTTTAAATTGAGTATTGGATGGACAGGTTGAAAAACCTCACCTTTGTCCTGAATAAAGCTCTATCTTCTGTTCCTGGCGAAGATTCCGAATACACAGAAAACATACGAATTTTGTGGGACAGAAAACCATCGAAATTCTGAAATTGCATCGAATAATAGGAAAGAACCAAAGATTGCAAGGAAGACAAAACTCAATGACAAAGTGACAGGATGATATTTGGGAACAAGAAATGCATAACAAGCCTCTAATTTTAGCGTCGACGGAGATGTCAAAGGAGGAGATCATTCACCTACAGCAGCTCAACTGCGTTTGCCGAAAACCATCAGACCGCGTGAGTTTATTGCACTTAAAGCAGAACAGACTGATTTTTTTCTTTCTTATCAAATTTCAGTGAGTTATGATCTGAAAATGCAAACCTATCTGCCCTCGTATGTGGATTTTTCGAGCTCCAAGAACTTCACATTTGACGCCGAGCTCAACATTGATCTTGAAGTTGTCGAAGCGGAAGACAAGATTGTACTTAACATGAGGAATCTCACTATAGATAACGACAAGTGTGAGCTCTATGTGGTGAGTACTTTGAGGCCATGATCTCGGCGGTCTACGCATTTAAGATGGCTCCTGTAATGCATCTACTCACCTACATCGCCATGCGATGTGAGAATTGATATCCGCTTGTGCAGTCAATCTCGTTCGCTTTCCCAGTCAGTGTTGATTGGAAAAGCGGACGAGATTGTCATCTTGGCTTTTTCAATTTCCAAAGCATAGATCTGAATTCTGCTACTTTGAAAAGAAAATTTTTGACGTTCTTTTCTAGTTTGCAGCCCAAATCCGTCGCGTCGCTCTAACGTAAGAAATGTGAAGGTCATAATAATAACTGGATCATTACGTTTGCTCACGCTAGAAAATCAAAGGGTCTCGGTCACAACGATAGGTCACGTTTCACGAATTTACGAGACTACACGCGGAAGTCGACGACATGCACATGCTGAACGCAAGCAAAATTTGAGGGCTCTTTTATCAACACGATAGAAAGACATAAACTGAACTTACCTCCTTATTCGCGGTACACCAACCCACTTTGATTACCGAAATCTTGGTACTCCACGGTACCACTATCCCTTGAACACCTCTAATTAAGTACAAGAGGTTCACACCACAACAGCCGAAAATCGGAGAGCTTTACGCAGTCTCAAAAATTTCCTCTCACACTCCTAGCTCTGTACCTACCAAGGAAAATCGAAGCTTTTTAAGAAGTGCAGTTATTTGTGAAAAGTGTGCGACAAAATGCGCTTCGGAACGAAACTTTCGATCATATCTGGACAAAAACCATAGCACACTTGCATGAACGCTGCTGCACTTTTGCGCAATAAACGGAGAGATTTAAGCCAAAACATTTGTAGAGGTGGACAAAAAGCATTTCTTTTTTTAACACTGAGAAAGTTGAAGTAAATAAAGGCAGAAACCTTTCCTGAGAAAGTTGATTGAAATATACACACTTTCGAAATTTTTGCTTAACTTTCAGCAAAAAAACTTTTCGTTGTTGATTTGGATTTGTTTGAGCAGCACAATAAAACATGAGAAATCGGAAGTAATTATAGTCAGGAACTTTTCACGCACTCTATTAATGAAGAGGTTTTACACATATCGAGTTACACGCTCTCTGTCCAACTTTAATCGCACTTAGACTTTGGCCCGTCGTAAAGCTTAAATAGTTCAGTTGATCTGTACTGTAGCCCTCAGTTGAGGTTTGTAACGTGAACTACCAACCACTTACTCCCCTTTTCATAAAAATGCAACGTGACCTGACAGGTAAACGGCCAATTAGTTGCCGCGCTGATCTCAGCTTACTTCTGTCAGTGCAACTTAAGTCTTATAATAACTTGCGGAAATGGTTGCAAACAATGAATCCCAAAAAAATTCCCTTAGTTGCTCTGAGTAGCGTACAATGTCATTTGCAGTAACGCTGCGCAAAACTGCAAAATACCGTGGCCTAAATAGAAGAGGATCTATGAACAGCTGAAGCTATGAAGTGGGGGTCTTTTTTCCAATATTCTCATCTCAGAATCTCGACAGACTTGAGTTAAAAATCATTTTTGTTGTTTACTTTTTTTTCGGTGCATCATTTTGATGGTAAAGACAATTCAACCAACTTCTTTCAATGTTTCTCGCTTGCAAGTGGGCGGAGCACTTGGTTTGTGATAGAGAGAGTACAAAAACAATGCTCTAGTATGGATCTTTATCTATAGATCAATTGCCTCCAGTAATCCTACTCTATGACAAGTGAGCATCCTATAAACTCTTTGTTGGCTACGTGAAATCATTGGGTGCGGGTCAGGAGTCACAATTTTTCGCGAAGCGACGCCGCCACGGGACGTCAAGCACTACAGGTCTCACAAGGGAAGTGCTACAAATCGCAGTGGCCATTTGAGACGGGATGGGTGGTGTAACACATCACTCGGAAGGGCATTTCCAAAACCACCTTCGCTAGCTGCAGAACAACTCTGGGAGAGGGGCTACGGGCGTTTTTCCGCTCGAAACTCAGCGCGCCTTACTCGAATACCACTGCCACTTTCAGCCTGCCGTGCCAATGTGGCGCAGTGGCAAGTGCGCTGACTACCGTGCGGACGTTTGGAGGTTCGAGTCTTCTGTTGGGCAACTTTTTTGCAGTTTATATACAAAAGTCCTATAATGTGTAGGTTAGCGACCAAAATGTGTTTTACCCCTTTACTGGTGCTTAGAAGCAGAAAAGCACATCTTAACATTTTTTTTCGAAAGAGAATATCAGATACAATAAAACTATGCGAGCGAGTACTAGAAACATGCGGAAATGAAAAATTTGAACGAAATGAGTGCAAGACGCAGACTCACGAAACCGCGCTAAATCTGACAATAAAGTTTTGTCTAATTTGTCTAATTGCTTCACCATGCGTACAGGAGGTTTTCGCAATAAAGACGTTTTTTCTACTTTTAAGCACCAGTAAAGGGGTAAAACACATTTTGGTCACTAATTTACACATTTGAGGAGTTTGTATATAAATTGCAAAACAGTCGTCCAACAGAGGAGAACCTCCAAACACCCGCACGTTAGTCAGCACACTTGCCACTGCGCTATGGCACGCCAGGCTGAGGGTAGCAGTCGTATTTGAGCAAGGCGCGGTGGGTATGAGTGGAAAAACGCCCGTAGCTCCCCTCACAGAGTTGTTCTGCAGCTAGCGAGGGTGGTTTTGAAAATGCCCTTCCGCGTGACGTGTCACACCACCAATTCCGTCTTAAACGGCCACTGCGACTTGTGACACTTCCCTTGTCAGCTCCCGTCAGTACTCCTGCCACAATATTACTTAAGGCATCGAGTCATGTATCTGCCGCCATCCCCACCCCCCCCCCCCCTACTGTGGCGCCGTGCCACTTTAGCACCGGAGAGTTTTTGTGAGGCACAAAATCTGGGCGTGGCGATAAGCCGTCGCGAGTGGTGCGACTCTTGACCCGGAGCCGAATTCATTACGGGCCATCATCGATTTCTCTGGTAGTAGTCGGTATCACAGACTGCCCGCCGACGTAACAAAGAATTGTCTCACACCAGTCTTAAACTAAAGCCGTCGTACTGAAGCGCTGTGTTTTGCTTACTCTACAAACCCGCACAAAATCTATTTTCCTGAGGGTTGGGGCAGTCTGCGGAGCGTGCGCAACGTACGTACCATATTTTTATGCACGTGTGGCTACGCCGCGTACGCCGCGCAGTCTGGCCCAACTCTGAGGCGCACGCATATGTCACTTTTGCTGCAATCGGCATCGAAATCGATGGTTGCGATGAACTGCTCTGCTCTCTATGTCACCCTACGCCAGCCTTAAATCACCTGAACTGTTCTCATGGGCTTTGACTGCGAGGGTTGACCCAAAGGACAATTACGTTCCGGCTGCTGGAATTGGGTCTACCAAAAGCGCGAACTTTATCATACCGCCTTCACTTCTTTCACGTATTCAGTCCCTTATCAGGGCCCGGCACAGATGGTTTGGGGTCAAACTAGACTTCATTTTGAGGTTAGAAGCAACGGGGATAGTTTTTATAAGGCTCTGGGCGAAGCACCGAAAAAAAAGACAAACATGTGTTTCACGAGTTGAACGTGTTCTTTGGCAAGCGCGCGAATTTCAAAAGCAAGACTCAAACAAACAAATGGCTTGTTTACAGCGCACAAACAATCACATGGCTCCGAATTTGGGCTATGTGCATACAATATTTCCAAACTATGTTATGTAAAAAGTTTCAAAAACTTATGTGTCCTAATATCCGTTTCCGAATTTTCTGGTTTCTAGGCCGACACCAAACCAACTGGGTTGGTTCGGAGCATAAATATCAGAGAGTTCGCGTAAGTTTTGGACCCTTTTGATTTAAACGATTAGAACGGCCAAAAAACTATCATATAGTGAAAAGAGCAAATCAAACCATTGCCTCTCCTCTTTTTGAGCCGAAATTAGTGCAGTCTTACGCGTTGAGGGATGTCGCGCTCCAATCACATGCGGGGTCCTTTGAACTATGTGGCGAAGAATGCATCGCCGGAGAGGCCATAGATTTGGTTGGTCTAGGAGGTTTTCGACATTCTGAGCACTAAAATGGTAGCATACCCAATGAGAGAGCCTTTATTCAATTCGAAATGTTCTCTTTTTGCTTATTTGTTGTATTAGATAATTCAAAACGCTTTTTTTCTTTTTTTTGTTATTTTGGATGAATAAGGGTTTTCCAACTGATTTTGACGTCAAGAGGGACTTCGTAAGTTTTCGCGAAGTCATGGGGGACTTCGTTTCCAATAAAGCTCCAAACCAACGCGTGCCGTGCCCTGTCCCTTATATCGTTTTTGGTGCATTCCACATTTTCCGCATACAGTCAAATAACAACTAATAAGGAGAGATCCCATATTGCTGTGAAGAATTGTAATGAAATACATATAATTAGACGTTTTTATGATCTAATTCCCAAAGTGCTTTCCTTGTCTTCCGCGGGGTTCTTTGGAAAAAGTTACGGGCGTTCATAAGAGGAAGTCATCAAAGTCGTAATGCATGAAGTGCGTCCAGATCAGCTTAAATGTGCACAAACGGCCTGATGTTGGGGTTGACTACGAGCAATGCACACATTAACCAAAAACATAAATAAGTGCTTTCAGACCACTAGTTTTTGGAAAGGTGCCATGTACGTTTGTCATATGTGGACTTTTGAACGCTCATGACTTCCTTAATAACTTCTCAAAAGATAGGAGTTTGGATTTAGTTTCAACTCGACAAGAGGCATCCTTGATAGGCATATTGTTCCTGATCGTTACTGCGATCTGGGATCCTTCTCTAGTAAGTGGAAGTTAAATGAGTAATGAATGCGCGCAAAAGGGCCTTTCTTTTATATTTTTCTTGTTTATCAATCGTTTTGTTTACACCTGTTTCCTTCTGTTTCATAGCTGTTTAGTAATAACTCTCTGAATCAACCGTACCAAACAAGTTTTCATGAATATTACTGACAATGTTTCAGCACATCTATAGGATTGTGCAGCTACTTTAAGTCAACTTTGAAGGCATCCTTCGATGCCGCTGCTTTCCTGAACGGGATAATTTGGTATTACTTTTTTTGCAAGAAATTAAGCAGTTGTCACCCTGAAATGCTACAAAGGCGTATGCAAACGATTAAGGGCCTTCTAGAGTAAAGAAAGAGTGAGTAAGATATCGTAATAACAGTGTGGCAATCAACTGGCAAACTCTGCAAAAATCGCAATACGCTCGCCAAGTGCATACCACTCAGCTTTCTTTCGCGTCTTCTTCAGTCAAGGATGTTTTAGAAGGAGAAAAAAGCGCTTTAACTATTTGAGAACTCAAACTCATGATTACATCATGAGGGCGCCATATGGACCTGCAGACCTAAGTATTTTTGTGAATATTAGGTCGTTCCAAAGGAAATCTTTCTTTTTTTCAACGAGCGTAACATCCGGTAGAATGAAGCTTCTCGAAAGCTATTGAACATTTTCGATGCAGCGCTTAATCCTCTTTTAAGAGCGGTTTCTTCATTCAGTAAATTTTTGGAGGTGGACTGCTTGTTTTGAAACAGCTTTTTGCATGCCTCTAATCAATAGTTTTCCTGAGATTTCGTGAAGACACTTCAAACAACATTCTCTAATGCGGATCATGCAACAACATAAACTTCTGTTGCTTTATGAAAAATCATTTTCACACATTTTTATTTGTTTTTTTTCATCGGCCCCTTTTCAGAATGGTCAAAAAGTGGGCATTGATAAGGTTGTTCCTCAAGAACAATTGGAGAAGGTCGAAATTGTTCCAGCAACACGTCTTCAGCAAGGAGCGCAAACCAAGTTGAAGGTCCCATGCTAGTAAAAATAAAAAATGTATCAATAAATTTAACTTATTTCAAGCTGGTGTACACAGGACTAATTAGTGATAAGCTCGGGGGACTTTACAAAACAACCTATACCGAGAATGATGGCAGCAAAAAGTGGGTTCTATACGGATAACTACAGTCTAGTACTAACGTACGTAGATTTTGAAGAGTGGCTGCTGTAACTCAAATGGAGCCAATAGATGCTCGCAGCATGGTTCCATGTTTCGATGAACCCGAATTCAAGGCTTCGTGGAACGTAACCGTGATTCATCCCAAAGGGACCAAAGCAATATCAAACGGAATTGAAGAGGAAGTGTAAGTACACATTTTCGTCTATGTAAATATGAAGTTCTAGAACTTTGCCATTCAGACGAATAGTAAGTCACATAGAATGGAGGTTTAAGAACATAACAAGTAATTTCGTCTATAAGCTGCCCTTGAACCATTGCCTGCAAATCAATGAGAATCATTTGAGTGGTCGACCAAGATTCTCAAAATGTTTATTGATCATGAAGTGCTGATTACCAATCCACCTTTTTATCTGCGGAGCGTTTCTGAGCGAGGAGATATGAAGGTTTGTAGGTGCAAGTAACTGAATGAGCAAGTAGGAATAAATTCATTGGTTGGAATTTTTCTAACTTACAAAACAGCGGGAAATGAAGCCACATTTGAACTTGGACTATTTATTGCACAAAGCACTCTGTTATTATCACTGCTGCATTTGAGGTTTAGGAAGGTTATTACGAACCATTTTATCTAGGTAGCGCATCCAGTGTTTTGCTTTAAACCCTCATAACTGCTCGACCCGGATCGCTCCGCAGATATGGAAGGAAGGCTTAGAATCAGCGTTTTATATGCCCTTTAAGACGGTGTGCATTCTGAACTCAATCGGCTATCACATCACATCGACTGTCCATCTTTTCCCTGTAAGTAGCTGATACCGAGAAATTTGTGCTTTACGAACGATAATTTAAAAGCTACGTTAGGACACCGGCATCAAAGTTTTATTCAAAAGTGCTTATAGAACTTTGAAGACACCCCGTATTGTCTAATGTTTTCAAAGATCACCTTGTTTAAGATCCATGCAACAAAGTTTCACAAGCTTTTTGAAGGCCTTCCAAATTGACTACTACTTTGTCATAAAACTAGTTTAGCTACAAATTGTGACGAACGGCTACAGGTTTTTCTTTTTGTATTTTATCGTGTTTAACTCAAAAGCCAGCTTCAGGGTTTCAATATTCGATAGAGAGGGTTCATTAGCCACATTCAGTACATTTTTGGGGCACCCTCATACAACCTAAACAGCTTTACTACTCTCGCTGTGATTGATCGTATCTCGTTGAAACAAAAATGTGTTTGAACCAATGCTTCATTGATAGCCATCTCAAAAGCGCTTGTCTAAGGCCTTGGACAGAGTTCACGCGATTTGGTCGTTGCGATTCAATCGCTAAAGACAAGTGTTACGAGTTCACTGCAGGCCGATCTTCTTGTAATTCGGTTGTGAACAACCAAATTGTTGTTTCCAACGCGAGCAATCGTGACTAACTATTACAACCGAAATACAAGAAGATCGGCATGCAATGAACTCGTAGCACTTGTCTTTAGGGCCCGGCGTACTCCACGCGATTTCAATCGCGAAGCGATTTGGTATTCTGTCTATGACTCACTGCAAATACTTTTTAGATGTCCAGAACATAGGGCATTTTATAAGTCCACATAAGTTATACACACTATGCATGTGCAGTCTGTTAGTGTTGGATCTGAAGACTTCTGGCGAGTTGCCAAATTGCGTCGCGACTGAAATCGCGTGAAGTATGCCCGACCCTTTCAGCGACTGAATCGCGACAACCAAATCGCGTGAACTCTGCCCGAGGCCTAAAGAATACTTTTTTTAATTTTGAGTGTAACCCTTTACATCCTTTGTCTTTAACCATCCCTCCCCTTCGTTATGTCCTTCAAACATATACCAACGATTAGACTCGATAAAGCTAATCACAAGCTCATAACTACTAAGTTATTTAGGAAAGAAAATGGTGATTGGATCACGACAAGATTTGCTCAAACACCGAGAATGTCGTCGTATCTGTTAGCCGTGCTAGTCTCGGAGTTCGAGTACATTCAAAATCATACCAGCTCGGGTGTATTGGTAAATTAGCTACAAAGTTGTTAATCGCTAAAGCAGGAAATTGCTTTTTGTTCAGTTCCGCATTTGGTCAAGAAAGGAAGCCACTTCAATGACAGAATATGCACTCCACGCAGGAATTAAATGTCTAGAATTCTACGAAAAACTCTTTGACTACAAATTTCCGTTGAAAAAACAAGGTGGGAGCTATCACTGAGGATATGCTCAAATTGTGTATGGTATATTTGTAGACATGGTTGCGCTTCCGGATTTTTCGGCAGGCGCAATGGAAAATTGGGGTTTAATAACATACAGGTCAGCAGAGTTGAAAGGTGATAATTTGGAATCAGTTCATCAGATTTCAGGGAAAACTCTCTTCTCTACGATGAAAGTCTGTACGGTCCCGACAATAAGCGCAGAGTTGCACTTGTAGTTGCGCACGAGCTTGGCCATCAGGTAATTGTTGTTCATAAGTCAGTTGACTGCCAGTATAGTTTTCGTTACTAACTTTGTGCTACTTACCTACATGTATTACTCGCGTTTTTTACTTAGTATATGCTAGAATCGTTGTACCTCGTTCTTGCAGTGGTTCGGCAATCTGGTAACAATGAAATGGTGGGAGGATCTCTGGCTTAATGAAGGCTTTGCTACTTATCTTGAGTTTATTGGAACAGACTTAATCAGTGACAATCTAATGAAAATGGTAGGCTAAAGAGAGAAGTGTATTGAAAGTAGCTCAAAACACTTTTTTAGGATCAGTATTTCATACTTGACTCTATGGAATCAGGTATGGATGAAGACTCTCTTTCTTCAAGCCACCCACTTTCATTCAAAATCGACAAAGCTAATGAGGTTTACGAGGCATTTGACTCTATTTCATACGGGAAAGGCGGCAGCATACTCAGAATGATAGCTGCTACTATCGGAAAAGACAACTTGATTAAAGGCGTCGCGGTAAGTCTCAGTAGTCTCTCAAATTCTGGAAAAGTCAAATGTCGGCACCAAAAGCTTAGGCTTTCGCCAGATCCCAAGCGATTCCCCCAACTACGGTTGCCACGCAATCTAGCAAGTTGTCAGATTATACGAGTATACCGCATGTGAATTCAAGCATAGATGCATAGCATCTGTACGCTCACACCAGTGGCGTACCAAGATTTCCGCTCGGGGGAGGGGGGGCAACGAAAATTTTTTTGGATATAGGTGCGTGGAGTTAGCCACGCACTCCAAAAAGTTTTTTAGGATGTTTCCAAAACTGCGGCCCCCTGACTCTAAAAATTTCAGAAAAAGGAAGCTAGGCGGCAGCCATGCCTCCGCGAAATTTTTTTCACAGGGCTAATTTGATTTTTTTTTAAATTTCTAAAAATTATTTTAATTATTTACAAGTAAAAACAAGTCGCTTGCGCATTTTTATAACACATTTAAGTATTAGGTTGTCCGGAAATTTATGCCCCTTTTGAATTTCAGCCTCAATAAGCCATACACTTCTCATTTCCAAATAGGTTGCAAAGTACCATTCGATAGAGCAAAGCAAGCTCTACAAGAAGGCCATCTTAATTTGCAACAGCTCTCATCCATCTCTAGTTTCAAGCCATAAACTAAAAAGACTCAGCAGCCCGAGAAATCGAAAAAAATCATAGCTCAGTTCATAAAAATCCTACAAAAATTTTTACTTGCTCACGTAAACACTATTCACATAAAACATCTATATACCCTTTATCGTAATATTTCTCTGTTAGAAACCAAGAAAACGGAAATTTTCGTGCATATGCCAAAGTGATGCTGTGCCGTCCCCACATAGGTAGTTGTATACTACAAGCCAGTACAAATATAAATTCTCAGCTCTCTACAAGCTTTACTTATCGAGAAATTTAAATTTTAGCTTGGACCACCTAATTAGGGAAAGCTATATTCGGTATTACTCGAGAACTAAAGCTTGTAGAGGGCTGAAAATTTAAGTCTGTACTTCTACAGGCTTGTGGTATACAACTACCTATGTGGGGACAGCACAGCATCACTTTGGCATATACACGAAAAATTCCGTTTTTTTGGTTTCTAACAGCGAAAAAAATACGGCAAAGGCGTATTTAGATGTTTTATGTGGATAGTGTTTACGTGAGCAAGTAAGAATTTTTGTAGGATTTTTATGAACTAGTTACGATTTTTTTCGGTTTTTCGTGCTGCTGAGTCTTTTTAGTTTTTGGATCGAAACTCGAGGTGGATGAGAGCTGTTGCAAAAAGCAAGACGGCCACCTTGTAGAGCTTGCATTGCTCTTTCGAATGGTACTTTGCAACCTATTCGGAAGTGAGAATTGTATGACCTATTGCGGTTGAAATTTAAAACGGGCATTAATTTCCGGACAACCTAATAATTGCAAAAATTTCGCGACCCATTCTCGGGAAGGGGGAGGGGGTTGAAGCGCCCCCCTCCTCGCGCTCCTTCCCCCTCAGTACGCCACTGACTTACACCTGTCTACCTAAAACCAACTTGTTCAAATAAAATGCGCCTATGGAGAGTTGTGAGACCGTAGCAATCCGAAATTGCGCGGAGTTGGCATTCGCGCGAGGTGTGCTCGATGCCTTTATAGGTTTGATTACCAGGAAAATACCAGGAAAGCGTAGCTCAAGTCCTTTCATCAACCAACGAATTTGCACTGTGCTATTTTCCAATGTAGCGTTAGACAAAGAAAATCGGACTTTACATTAACATTTGATGCTACTTTTGGCAATATATTATTTATCTAAAAGAGCATCCCTCGAGAGTGACAGGGCTACAATTCCTCAATTTTGTTTATTTTTCGTGTTTATTATGAGCTTCGTGAAATTGAATAAAATCAAAAAGTATGGTCGTTGATCAACCAAGAATTAGTTAATAAGAAAATCTGCAACGTAGGAACTTAAAGTTGCATAAGTGCACAGCAATTATGATTAGTCAGCTTTTCCTCTGCTTCGCAAAGGTTTGCACTGACCGTGAAGGGTATCACGTAAACATACATTTGGTATCAACCTTCCAACCCTTCGGTCGACGAACCGCTAAATGATCATAAAAGTGAAACTTACTTGTGATGCAGCTCTCACATGCATTGCAGCAAGAATCATTCCTCATTGTGATTTCGTAACAGACCAACTTACAGACCGACAGATAAGCCGCTTATTATAAGTCATGATAAACTTGTGATTATTGACTTTCTTAACTGCTTTTACCATGGTTATGCTTTAGCATTACATCACCAAGCATGCGTATAATAACGCTGAAGCTGCGGATTTGTGGGAAGCTCTAAATGAAGTGGTTGGCAATATTCATGGATCCCCTGGAAACATGAAAGTTGGAGATTTTGCTGATCAGTGGACAGCACAGGTGAGATAAAGGCTCGATGTAATAACTGCAGTTACAAGATCACCTTAGATGGGATTTCCTCTCGTAACTGTGGAGTCGTTCAACAAAACGCATGTCAAATTGACACAAGAACGGTATCGGAAGAATCCTAATGCTAAAGACCCAAAGAAATACGCAAATCCAAAATACGGGTGGGCAAACATATTGCTCTCAGTTGAAATGTATTTACGCAGTTCAGATTCAAATGGGATGTTCCTATTTGGTACCAAGAAGGCGATTCATTTGTACAACTAAGTTGGCTAAAAAGAGGTGGGATAAATAAGAGCACGAGCAGAGCAGGGCAATGCGAATTGTTATCGCTCTTGCAAGTCATAAGTTTGCACTTTTCGAGTAAAACAAGCAATTACTGAAGCACTTGCTATCTTCCAAAATTAGGACAATTAGTTCTCTGTCTAATCCGCTACGCTCTGTAATCAAGATAATCTAATTGAAATGAACGATACGTTGTTAAAAGAACATTTGCCATTTCAGACGAGCCGCTTTACCTTCAATTGAATCAGCCAGAACGTTTCGTTGTTATAAATGCTGGTAGAAATGGATTTTATCGCCAAAACTACGACGCTGCAGGTTGGCAGAAATTAGCAAAACAACTAAAGGATAACCATCAGGTTAGTTTCAAGAATGTCGGTAACAAATAGCTCACTATAGTTCCAAACAAATTAAAGAAGTACAAGGCGGTTTTTTTTCTGAGATCGATTTGCCTAAGGCCTAAGACATACCTCTCGCGATTTCAGTCGCGGCGCGATTTCCAGCTCGGACATAAGTTCCGAGTCCGCCGCGCCGGCGCGCCTGTGTGGTCCCGCTGCATTTGTGTTAGAATGACGAGGCGACGAATCGCGGGCCATTTTTGGACGGACATGCTTTCGCCAACGATACCTTTGCGATATCGTTGGAATTGAGCGATGTCGCGTGGCTGGTGCTGCACCAGCGACGGGGCATATCGCGCGAATCGCTTCTCCTTTGGGAAAGTTTTGTATTTTTTTGCAAATGCGAATCTCATTTGAGACTGTTCCATCTCACGCAATCGCTTCCTCTTTACATGAGAAAAGGTTGGTCATCGAGCATTCCATACTATTGATCTTTAAAAACAACACATGCGAAGTGTATAGTATGGAATGCTTCCTATATGTCCCTCACCCTTTTTGTTAGCATTCATTGTTCTCGCAATGCGCTAATCTTACTGTTCTTGTTCAAACAACAAGTAAAAGATGACCAAGTCTCGAATGTTTTCGCCTTAATTCCTGAAGTAGAGTAGATGTGCAATCTTGGTTGCTTAAGCATGTATGTATGAACGCAGATTGGCGGACAAGAGCTCGCGCAGCACTCGTTGCTAAAATATGCCTAATCAAAGTCTTTTACAGAGCCGAAAGCATGGCACTTCTGTTACGAAGCTAACGTATATGCCCACCAATGACTGAAAAAGTGAATTCAAAGCTTTATGAACTGTAGTCGATTTCATCGCAGATGTTAAATTGCGCCGGTACAAAAACCTTGGTAAATACGAAGATGAGTGTGAATCCATGTCCTTGTTCGTTTGCTCAGTATTCTTTGAAAGCATATGGTGCCACATTCTGTTCAAACTTTCTTGAAAAAATGCGCTTCAGACAGACTAGCGCAAATTTTCCAAAAGTGCGTAAAATGCAGTGTGGTGTGTGAGCGTTCACAAAATCGCAAGGGTATGGCCTGCGAGCGAGCGATAAGCGATTTCTAGGCAATGATCCGTCGCCCATGCAGCCGATTCGCAGCGACCAAAAACCGTGACGACGGTGTCACAACGAGGTATGCCTTAAGCCTAACAGACAAGGAATGTAGCGACCTAGAGACCCCTTACTGTGCTGCGCATTACTTGAAGAAATCGTACGGCATAGCGATCGTCTCGCGAGGCACAGCTAAACGACTGATCGCTCGCTTAAAAAACAAAAAAGCGCGCTTACTAACAATAGGGTACTATTTTTCAAGAAGGAGAAGCAACGCAGCAATTTCCCTTATCTATTCTGAATGTAACAATCAAGCGTAATCGATATACCTCATTTAGAAACTTGACGTTTTTACGCGAAATGCGATAATCAGCGACGCATTTGCAACAGCACTTATTGATAAAGTTTCATATGGAACTATCCTGGATCTGCTGCAATATCTGAGGACAGAGGAGGTGAGAATACTGTTTTGAACTTGAGGCGCTGCCCAAACAAAATTTTGACCGCTTCCTCTAGATTTTTTTGTACTGCGAAAAAATTGTACTGTTGAGTGTAATGAGTTGTTGAGAAAAAATGTGTGTTAATTAGAGGACTTACTGATGACGCGAGTGCTAAAAAAATTCATAATTCTTGATGTGTACGACATAGCTTTTATTATTAGGTTGGCTCGAAAGTTCTCGGACATTTTTAGACGAGATCTGCTATCTCTTGAGCTTAATGCATGTAAATCCAACAGAGGTATCTTTCGATAGTGCAAAGCAAGCTCCACAAGATGCAAAAGTTAAAAGTTAGTTAAAGCTATGCAAAAGTTCGCACCAGCTTCTACCCAGGGTATATATCCAAATGTGAGTCGCGGTATGCATCCAAATGTGAGTCGCACCGAAAGCTCGAAAAATTGGGAGAAATTCATCTTTTCGTTCAAATGCATCCTATGGATCTCCACGCAAGCAAATTGCACACCACAGGTACCTCATATGTACCTTTGCCGTGTTTCTCCCTTATCTAAAAACTGAGAAATTTTCTTGTTTTTACAAAAACGAAGCAATGCCGTTTCTATTCAAGTAGTTGTACACTACAAGCCCTTAGAAATATAATCGTAAATTTTCAGCTTTCCACAGGCCCTAATTTCAAAAAATTATCAAGTTGAGCTCTCCTCACTCGGATGTTTCATGTTAAAGTCAATATTTTTCGAAAACTAGGGCTTGCTGAAAGCTAAGAATTTACGGCTATACTTCTAAGGGGTTGTGGTATTCAATTACATGCGTAGAAACAGCACAGCTTCATTTTTGTATGAGCACGAAAGTTTACGTTTTCTCTAATTCTAAGGAGAAGATACAGCAATGATACATATGAGTGTCTGATGTGGTAGGCAATTTGCGTGAGCAATTAGAGATCCGTAGAATTTTTTTGAACGAAGATATAGATTTTTCCCAATTTTTCGAGCCTTCAGCACAACTCAGATTCTGGATGCAAACTTACGGTGGATTGAAGTTGGTGCGAAATTTTGCCTTGCATCTTGTAGAGCTTGCTTTGCTCTATCGAAGGTATCACTGCCGGATGTACATGCATTAAGTTTCAAGAGATAGCAGATCTCATCTAAAAATGTCCGAAAACTTTCGAGTCAACCTAATACATGCACACATAGAAGCCCTTGCCACCAGCCTACTTTAGCAGTTAATGCAACAATTGTTACTCGACATTTGCCCCCAGTCATCGACATTTGGGGCTTATACTTAAACTCTAGGCACTACCGCGGATCGTGCCAGCCTTCATACCGATTGTACACTAGGCGTTATAAAATACACCCAAACATGACGTTACAAATATCCCTGGAGCCACAACCGAGCTCTGGTTCAGCGCATCAATACAGGGTGGGGCAAAAGTCTAGGAGCCTAGCACTCTTTCGGATAAAAAGAAGGAAGGTACCTAGAAACAAGAAGTTTAGTGCGCACATCAGTTTAACCTTTACAAATGCAGCGCAGCTCCCAAAATATAAAATTGCCTCTTTGGGCTTTAACACGTTTCGGACCGCGAAATCGCGCGCGGCGAGAAAGTGTGCACTTTCAGCCATTAGCCAACAAAGGGGCCTTATTTCTTAAACCGAATGTTACATCTGTAATCAGCTTGTTAGATAAGTTCCACACCGAGAGTTCTGAATGGTTTCAAAGTGTTTAGATTTTGTCGTTTGTTAAGGACTTCTGTGCTTTCCTAAAAGATAGGAACACGAACTTAGTTTCTAATAGTATCCAAAAGTATCTATGTTATAGACGGTACACATTAGTATTGAAACTACGGTTTTTCTCTTTGATATCGAAGCAAAGGAAAGTTGCGACGTCGCACGCGTCGTTCGCGTCGCCGCACTTCGTTGCAACTATTGTTCGATTTATGCTCATATCTCCTAAACAAATGTAGGGGGCCCAACTCCACAGAGTCTTTTGAAAAGTAGAAGCTTAGGCCTTTGACTTGACCTTAGACTAACAGAAAACTTCTGTAAACGTCAAAAAGATTATTCAAAGCAGCGTGCTGCACCATGTGCAACACCGGTCCGAAACGTGTTAAAGCAACCCTTCGAAATCTTGCCAAGACCGCCTGTCGCGGCACGCTGGCAGTCGTGATGAAATTTGTCCTACGCCTTCACGATAACTGCTTCTTTCGCTATACAAATGGCAGTATGATAGAGCAAGCTTTTGGCTACAGAAGAAATTGTTTCTGTAATAATTGGGGAAGAAAATTTTGGGATTTTAGATTAAGGTACTCGCATACTGGAAACCTGGATGCGATGATGCGAAGGGGACGAAAAATCATAATCTAAAAAGTTGTGAAATTGCTCCATCGATCGAAACCAAATAGATGCTTATATAGAAGACGCGTGGAGAGAATTTAGTCTGAACTTCAGTACCTGCTGCACTCTTACAGCTTTCGAATTTATTTGAAGACAAATGGCCAGCAGTAGGTAATATTCGCAGAATTCTACTTGCGTCTTCGAAGCAGTAGTACCTGGCAAACACAACTACTACATGTGATAGCACAAAGCCTCTTCTACATTGTATGCATCAAAGTGTCGTATAATATTCACAGTGCTTTAGCTTCCGCCATCGAGGACAGAAGCCAGTCCTCGATGGCGTAGATGTAGACGACGCTGAGCAGGGGAAGGGGAAGGGGCTGTATTTATCGATGGAGTTGGAGACGAAAGTGGAACCCGACCGCGAGGTGTCAGCTGCGATGACTACGTAACAATGCCGCCAGAAAGCTGAATTATGAATAAGCTGCGGCAGATTTGGCGGTGAGAGTCGAACAGCGCGAGGACGGCGTTTTAGGACCCTTTGCAGCGGGGCGGTGGACTCGTTATAAAGAAGTCGCGAATCCGCGACACTGCAACAAGAAAAAAGGGTCCGAAGTAGCTTCTGATCCACCTGTTACCTATGACCCTACAAGTCAAACATACCCACAAACCTTCGAGTCAAGAGTCCCTAGGTGTAGCGCGGGACCTACAGCCTGTCGTGGTAACAGTCGGTTGTTCTCGGGGGAAGGCATGAAGAATCGTCGGGGCACTATGGATACTGGCGGGCTTCGATAGTTTTGGATAGGCGCAAACGCTGATTGGAGTCCAGGCGACCATTGACACCGTGGCTCCCAAAAAGTCGGTAGTTGTGGAGTGGACACATGTGAGGCGCAAACTGTGGGGCTAACCTAAAGTAGGTTCATCAACAGAATAAACGGGCGAGCTCAAAGGCAGTGTCCAGGCAAATCTGGGCACATGGGTTATTTGTTTGGAAACTGTCGAGGATGCTCTAGCTAAGGCATTGCCCAAACCAAGATAAAGAATAAAGAGTATGAATAAAGTAGTTAAGCTGTGATGATGGAATACTCAGAAAGAGCAGGCCACAAAAACTTGATTTACTTCGTTCAAACAGAGAAGCAAGGAACTAACAAATTATACAAACCACAGTCACAAACACAGATTAACTCGTTTGTAGGATTATCTCCCTTGGGAAGCAGCCATTGATGGATTCACTGACTTACTGCGATACTTCGGCAATGAGCCAGAAGTTAAATTTGCGAAGGCAAGTCACCTATGTTTGTGTAAGAGAATTCGTTTGATTGATGTCTTTAGCGATTCATGTTGAGCCTCGTGAATCCAATCTATCAAAAAAGCAGTCTCAATCACATTGCAAATGAATACAGAAATGACAAGCTATTTTTGGAGAAGTAAGTCTTACATGTTTCACTTGATGATATGATGTTGAATGATGAAACTTTGTATTCATGCCTGTTATACAATTGCTCAATTATCGGTCGCTCAACGGTTGTCTCAAAAACTTTTTCATCCTTTGAGGTGCCGCAAGACGATAATCCAATTTCTCGTTTCTTACACTTATCATAGCGTCTCATACTCTGTAGATTACCATTTTATGAAATCGATCTGAAGTCCGTGCCTCTTTGTACCAATCCGCGCCTTTCGTAATAAAAATGGCCCGCAGAACACCCCCGTCAGATCATGTAAACTCAGTTGAATCCCTAGTTTTACGTTCGTTAGCTGAATTTACGACTCTCACCCTATGCTTTAGAAGGGCTATTTGGACAAGCACTTGACCGAAGAAAAAATAATTTTTGTCCACTTTTCTTGCAAAAGATTTTTCAATATTAAGAGAAAATGCGCACAATGAGATTTCATTCTTCCTACATATTTTCAAATAATTGCATTTTTTATGAAAACTCATGTTAAACTATTGTAATTCAGTCCCTTTTGTTACATCTTTCAGTATCGGCAAAATCTCTCATAGCGATCATCATCATTTTTTCCGTGGTGGCCGATATGGAGGTGGTCGGGCGTAGCAAAAATATTGCCCTACCTGTAGCGATCCAAATCCGACCACATGACTAACAACAGCCTTTCCATTTGGCCAGAACTGTACAAATGGCCCAAAATGTTTTTACTGTTGGAAAACCGCATGTCTATCGTCGATCCCCAGGAGTGCACATATGGACCACCACCAGCGTACGCACGCGACGCCGTTTGCTCGGCGCAATTCGATCGCATCACCTGTTTTTCCGTTTCTTGTCGGATTTCTTGATTTTTGCAAATTTATGCGGCGCACTCTGCCGGAGTGCGCTGCAGAGCGCCAGAGTGCGACGCAGTCCACTTGAGTGCAGCGAAGTGTGCCGCACTGCACTGCAGTCCGCCGAAGTGCGCTGCAGTGCGCCGGAGTGCGGCAGAGTGCGACACACTCCACTAAAGTACGACGGAGAACAGCGGAGTGCGCCGCACATCACTAGAGTCCGTCGGAATGCGCGGTCGCCGCATCTCGCTTTAGAATGGACGAATTCTGAATCCGAAAAGATCGTTCGATTCAGTTCGGCGAGACGCATCATCTAGTATATAGCCCCACAATTTAGCAGGATATGATAGGTATACGCTAGACAGTAAGTTTTCGCTCAATTTTGCGGATTTTTGTTCGGTTAAATTGTTCAGTGTGCTGATAAGTATTGTCATTGATTTGTCGCTGATGACACATAGAAAGTACATTGTAGGAGTATTGTAGAGAGTCACTCTGGCCGAATTCGTTCTGAATTCTGCTCAAGATCACAATACCGCTCACAGAATGTGCAAAACTTCCGTGAACTTCGCGGAATTCCGGATTTGTCGCCAGAGTCCGCAGTATTCGGGAAGTCCACGAAATTCCAGAATCCGCGGAATCATGGGAATCACGTAGAATACGCAACGCCATAACTTCCTTCGGAATAAATATATTCTAAATCCGGAAGCAGCAATGTGTTCAGATCGTTGAGCCAAATCTTTTGAAGTACAGTATGCCCTCGATATTCCGTTTACAGTTTTCTCAAATTTTTTCTGTGGAGGTCCTTTCGCAAGGATGTAACGCAGCGTCTATGTAACATAAAAGATTCCAGTAAGCACTACTCGATAGTACTGTTCTTGTAGGTTATAGAAGAAGCTGCAGACTGTTCTTCAAAAGGGATAGAGGCGTTGGTAAATTTTAGGAAAATTACGCGTTTCTAAATTCTACTCGCCGTAACTTCCTTCGGAATGAATATATTCCAAATCCGACGAAAGCTTCGTGCTCAGTTCATCAAGGCAAATTCTTCGATATACTGCATGTCCTTGATATTCCGATGTCAGTATTCTCAAATTTTTCTGTGGATGTCTTTTCGCGAAAGTGTAAAGCAGCGCGCATTGCCCCTAGAATCCAGCAAGGACCGCTCAATAGTACTTATTTCTTAGATTATGGAGCGCTAAAAAGTAGTCACAGGCGTCTTCCCAGTGGAGATAGAAGGGCTGGTAAATTGCAGAAATCTTGTCCCAAATTCTACTCGTCGTGACCCTAGAATACAAAGCTATCTTGCCATCAGCAAATTGGACAACCCTATGGGCAAGATTTCAGAAACTTGGGTTATTTGATTTTTTCTTGATTCACGCTCTGATGCTCGCCAGTGGTTTTGGTCGAAATGTTGATGATTTTAATTTGGAAGGAAACCTCGCTCATAGAGGTTTTCGAACATGCTGTATATGAAAATCGTGTTCTCTGTCAAGTATAGGGTCTTTTTGCGGAGATATGTGAGGTAACTGTAACTGAGTCACGAAATTTCGTAACTTCGTTTCCACTTCTCGCGTATCTGTCGGAAAACTTCCTCTATGCTTTTTTAATTCAAAGCTACTAGGAACTGTGCTATCGAATGGTGCATATCTCAAGCTCCAATATAAAAATTGCCAAGTTACAAATTGAATCAGCTTCGTGGCTCAGATCTATCTAACAAACCCAACACAAAGATCCATTAAACGATGTGAACAGATTTGATTAGCGTGTTGTAGAACCACTCGCGGTGGAATTTCGACGAAGTATGCGATCTTTACTTCTTGGGCAAAATGCATGAGGACGTGTTCTCGTAGGCTTGCAACTCTACGATTTCCATAAAATGGAGTCTGAGTCTTCGGAATATATTCATTTCGAAGGAAGTTACGGCGAGTAGAATTTAGAAACGCGTAATTTTCCTAAAATTTACCAACGCCTCTATCCCTTTTGAAGAACAGTCTGCAGCTTCTTCTATAACCTACAAGAACAGTACTATCGAGTAGTGCTTACTGGAATCTTTTATGTTACATAGACGCTGCGTTACATCCTTGCGAAAGGACCTCCACAGAAAAAATTTGAGAAAACTGTAAACGGAATATCGAGGGCATACTGTACTTCAAAAGATTTGGCTCAACGATCTGAACACATTGCTGCTTCCGGATTTAGAATATATTTATTCCGAAGGGAATTATGGCATTGCGTATTCTGCGTGATTTCCATGATTCCGCGGATTCTGGAATTTCGTGGACTTCCCAAATACTGCGGACTCTGGCGAAAATTCCGGAATTCCGCGAAGTTCACGGAAGTTTTGCACATTCTGTGAGCGGTATTGTGATCTTGAGCAGATTTCAGAACGAATTCGGCCAGAGTGACTCTCTACAATACTCCTACAGTGTACTTTCTATGAGTCATCAGCGACAAGTCAATGACAATACTTATCAGCACACTGAAAATTTAACCGCAAAAATCCGCAAAATTGAGCGAAAACTTACTGTCTAGCGTATACCTATCATATCCTGCTGAATTGTGAGGCTATACACTAGATGATGCGTCTCGCCGAACCGAATCGAACGGTCTCCTCGGATTCAGAATTTGTCCATTCTGAAGCGAGATGCGGCGATGCGACGCGGATCCCGACGGACTCTAGTGATGTGCGGCGCACTCCGCTGTTCTCCATCGTACTTACTCCTCTAAAGTACGACGGAGAACAGCGGAGTGCGGCAGCACTCTGCCGCACTCCGGCGCACTGCAGCGCTCTTCGGCGGACTGCAGGGCAGTGCGGCACACTTCGCTGCACTGTAGTGGACTGCGTCGCACTCCGGCGGAGTGCGCCGCAGTGCGAGTTTTTTGATCAATTATGAGCGGTATCGTAGAACAAAACGTGTGCAATGGAATGCTTTTTTTTCGCATCTCTCTAGCTATTTCCAGAATTTCTTTAGTTGATTTCCAGAAGAATGAGTATCGAAAAGATTGTTTGGTCTGTAATTTGATTGAAGATTTGGGAAACTTCAGAGTTTACATTCTCCAGAACTTGACCATGAAAAGTTGATTTTAAGAAGTAATGAGCCTTTGCATCTCTAAAATACAAAGGTTCACAATTTTTAAAAGCATATATTTTCCTCATAGTCTCGACTACATCGCAGAGGAAAAATTATGAAGAAAAAAAATTATGAAAAGGAGACGAAAAAGATACATCGATTAGTACCTGCATTTTTCACCTGTCGATGTTCTACAATTTTTGGATGGATCAAGTACTATATTTGGTCATTGCCGAAGATTTTCGGGAAATCTCTGCAACAGTAGCTGACAATGAGATTACAAAAAATGTGAAGAACCTTTCAGTGTCCGTTGATCAGCGTCTTATCGAAAGTGAAACTGAATGAGTTAAAGTGAATGAGCGGTTGTAAATAAAGATTATCTGACTTTGACAAAAGCGTCACAAGAGCTGGGCGAAGGCGTAGCTTTCGAAAAGAGCAAGAAATTTCGCATCATATAGTGCATGAAATCCTGAATTATTTTCATTTACGAGTTTTGCGAATTGTCCTGAATCAAAAGACTACCTTCAGACCGACCTAATGTAAGAAAACCCATCTTTTTGTACTATTGTGGCAATTTTAGCATGTTAAGATGTGCTTCCAAAAACTATAACAAATTCGATGATGACCCAGTCTATTGATCACAATTTGTATAGTCTTAAAGTAAACAAGCACATTTTGCAGCCTTCTCGAGCAGGATGTTATCAATTTTGCCTGCAAACTCGATCTCAGCGATTGTAAATCCAACTACAAGAAACTCTTTGATGATGAAGTTATAGCCAAATGCCAAGGAAACGATTCTGTCGCAAGTCGATGTGTAAGGTAAGCAGTGAATTGAGCCATTCTATTGCAATTACTTCATGTTTAGCCTTGCCGCTCCACTGCGAAGCAAAACGTATTGTTATGGTGTTAAAGAGGGAGGTGAAGTCGCGTACGAAAAGGTAATAGATTTGGAAAAATTACATTTATTTCTTAACGGGTCCTTTTAGGCAATGGAACTTTACATGGCTGAACCTGTGCAACTAGAGAGGATTAGATTGCTTGATGCGCTTACATGCACCAAGGATATCACTTCATTGAAAGAGTACCGTTTCTTTGTTGACGCAGATGGATTAGCTAGTTTTATAATGCTCGTGGGGTAGATATTTGAAATATTTGAGTTTTTGTTTTTAGGCTGATGCTGTTGTCACTTGATCGAAACTCTTCTTTTGTACGCCTTCAAGACGTCAGCTACATCTTCAGAGGTGTTTCGAATAACCAAGTTGGTCAGGAAATCATATTTAATTTCTTCATTGAACGCTGGGACGATATATACGATGGGTAAGTTGAGGAAAAAAGTATGGATCCTCGATACGAATTATCACTTTAGGCTGATGCCAGAGCGTACCACCATTGGAAATATTATCAAGAAAGCTGGACTTGGAATACGATCGCAACATCAGATTGAACAGGTATGGTTCAACTGGCAACTTTGAAAAGGTTTTTGGAAGTAATGGCTATCGTAGTTTGCACAGAACTGAAAGGTACTTACGATAGACAGTAATGTATTTCATAGCTGCTGATATTATTATCTGATAAAATTATCAGCTGCACATCAGGTGCGCATTGTAGTCGTTTTTTGCACATACATGTACTAAGTAGAAGTAGTAATGGCATTTTTGCAATTTTCAGAAAAGCTGCATACAGGGTGTCCCAAAAAAATGTTAACACTGTTTGATCGTTAATAACTCCCTTGATTTCATGTCTTTCGGCGAGCTTGAGGCACCATTCTGTAGATCGAGGTTCATCTTAGATTTGCAGTTTAGAGCGGACGCCGATTTCTCATTCATACTGTAGGATTACGGTAAGAAATTCCAGCATGTGGAACCGTCGTGAAATATACCCTCTGACAAAATTTTTTTCAAAAAATCTGAAAAAACGTGTACTAGGGTTTTCGCGCACGCTGATTTTACTACACAACTTTTTACGAGTGTTTTCAGCTTTTTTGACGGTGTGATCACATTCTTGACACATGCTGGGAAGTCAGTTATTACACTTTACTTAGGATAACTTTGAAAAGGAGTATTATAATAAGATGGAAATTTCATATCCGCAATTAGCGGCTTTCATTAACGTAGTATACAAGAGATTTTGGCATGTTCGGCTCTGTTTCGAATTAGAAAATGGTCTTCAATGGCCTAAAATACTTGTCAAATTTCCTACCGTAATTCTACAGTAACGAGGAGAGTCGGATGATTCGCTCCATACTGCAAATCTAAGTTTATCATCGCTCTACAGAATAGTACCTAAAGCTCGGCGAAAAACTTGAAAGCAAGGGAGTTATTAACGACCAAACAATGTTAACATTTTTTCGGGACACCCTGTACTATTCAATGCAGCGTAAGGATCCTGAATCTTTATCTACTAAACTGCTTTGTAGGCAGAGACATGAGAAAGTTTTGCGAAGAGACCTCAAAAAGCAAATCTTATTATGCGGAGAGGAACGAACACCTCAATCAGGCAACGCCTCCGATGTCCGGTCCTACTGTTGTGCATCGTGTGAGAACCAGTTGGCGCGGACGCGTTGCTCAATTGAGATGTTCGTAACTCATATTGTGCCAAACGTGCATCCATATGTTCACCTGCGTACTTATGATCAATTTCTCTCCTTAGAAGTGCTCTTAATTTTGCCCATAAAGCGTTCAGATATAAGGAGGGCAATTCCATGGTTGCGTGCTCAAAATTAGACTCCTTCTCCGATTCTCATGTGCTCAGATTTGCCTGGGCACTCTTTCAACTGTTTAGTTTCTTTCGTTGCGCATACATATGTTATGTGACGCTGTATGGTAACTACTTCTGATTTGTCAATTTAGAGCACAATAACCAGAAAGCAAGTGTGCGTTGCAGAACACTCATATGCCTTCTACCATAACTTTTTCAAAGAGTATATCCAGAAATTCATTATATTTTTTCAGCTCAAATCACTGAAGAAAAGCGGCAAGCATGCTAGCCAGTTTGGCGATTTCGACGAAGCGATAGAGAAATCGGAACACAAAGTCGAATGGCTCAACAAGCACTTCCGCGAGCTGTCGAACATCTTCAAAAAATTCGCCAAATAATGGATGCTTTGGAAAGACTGGCGCTAGTCACTTCCAATTTAGTTCGAATGTCTTGCACCAAAAATTGGATTGCGCCTTTGTGCACATTCGTTGTGTTTGCGTTTGAGTTTTCGAGAAAGAAGATTAACTAGGGAGGCTTGAAATAGATATCAAATTTTTTGCTTTTGCTATATTTTTCTATAACTAAATCGAAAATTAAAGACCCTAAGCGCGAAGCCGTTCTTCTCAGTTTATAGTACACTCGATATTGCTTAGCGCTGCTGGTAGGTTAGACAATTATTGTTGTAACCTTGAAGGTTTGTATAGAATGGAATTGCCTGAGTGCAAAAACCCCACAATCGCTTTAGCTGGAGCCTGACAGTTTTTGCGATTTTGATCTTGATCTCACAAAAAATATAGCTGGTGTGATCGTCTAAAATGCGACGCTCTTTTCCATATGAAAATCAGACACAAACTAAAACCAGTCTTTTTATTTAAACTTTACATAAGGTTTCCGAAGATTTGGTGCAAGATATTTGAACAATCTAACAACAATCTGTTTACTTTTGTTTTTCTGTGCGATTATTGTGTGTCGGCTAGAGAATATGTATATATGCCGGAAGAAGTGGCTTATTTGACGTGAGTTAGGTGCTTTAAAGCACTTTCTTATTGGGTATACTTATATCATTACTTCCCATGAAGATTGCATGGTGAAATTGTTCCATAGTTCACTTGTAAGGTTTCACTTCTCGCAGATGTTGTCTCCCGCGTGAATCACAATGACAGTTCAAATGCGAGATGTAAAGATGATCTTGACTCCTATGCTATGTCTTTATCGCCTATAAAGTCTGGCAACATGCGGCGTCCATAAATACTCGGTTATTAATAGAATACGAAAATATGTATTTGATGCAGTGTACAAAAGAATGTTTGGATTTTGTTAGTCTCACAATTTTTTAGCAGCCAAAATTGTGCATCAGCATTGCGGTTGATACATGGAGCACTTGGCTTTTGATAAAGAGCATATCTAATATATAAAGAATCGTAAGCGCAATTCAAAAATATGCAAATAGCGGGAAACTGCTTGGGGGTCCCGAAGCGCGCAGATGCAATCTAGCACCTTTAATTGCTGGTTCACTAGTCTAATATATAAAGAATCGTAAGCGCAATTCAAAAATATGCAAATAGCGGGAAACTGCCCGGGGGTCCCGAAGCGAACGCTCTTCCAAATAGCACCTTTAGATTATTGGTTCGCTAGTATGATATAAAGACGTGATAGCAGCCTGGTAACTGCGGTTTCCGTTAGTTAGCAATGCATAAATCTGCTGGAAGTTAATTGTAAGAAAAGAGATTTCAACTCTCACGTGTAACTTATTAGTGTTAGTGTTAAGGAGAAGTAATTGAGTTGCTTAGCTGAACTTTTTATAACTTTTCTTTTAACTCCATTTGCACGAGAGACGTTGGCCTATTTTCTATTAGCACCTTGTTGCTTTGCCAGTCGACAAGCAAGCATTAGCTCTAGACTGAGGGTTGCTCCTAATGAAACAAATCGCATAACTATTTTCGTTACCCAGGTTATTTACATAATATAAGACAATCCGTGCCATGTTTCTTTCTCCCCCTCCTATAGTTCTTTCTCAAGTCATATGGTTGACAACCTGAAGACCTCTGCCAGCTTAAGTGAAAGTTTAAAGAACATTAAAAACGGTAGGATTCGATATACATACTATATTCCAACAAACGATACATTGTGGTGCCTTTGATATGTGATATCGCAGACTGCTCATTCTGAAACGATGCATCTTGAAACTGTGCTTGTTGGCTGCAAAAAATCAGCGAAGGGATTGATGGCATGTTTGTGTAACACTGACTATTAGGTATAGGGCTTATCAAATTGAGTGTCGTTTGCACCAGCATCTCCATCTTCGCGCTGGACTCTGCGTCTCTTCCGCGTGGCTGCTCTCTAAGCACTTTCTCAGGGCGAGCGTGGGAAAGGCGGAGCCTCAATCGATTGGAAGTGACTAGGGAGCATGCGCCGCAGAATAGACGCAGAGTCCAGCGCGAAGATGGAGATGCTGGTGCAAACGACACTCAATTTGATAAGCCCTATAAATCCTTTACTTGAATTGCTTCTTATGTGGATCACACCGAAACATCTCGCGTAAGAGAAAAATAAGTAGGTCTTGCGTACGCAGCTGGATATGCTTGTGACATATGTTTCTAATTTTATCGTTGTAAATTAATTGCGTAGTGGATATAACGAGCAACAAATCGAAGATAGCTTACACAGTGCATCGCAAGGAAAAAGGAAATTACTCCTTTCATTCTTCTATCATGCGGAGGTTGACAACCAAAAGCCGCTACATTCGAAGTAATGATCCTCAAGTGCACACTGACTCATTTGCACTTGGAAAGTTCTAGCGTTACACCCAATGGAGTTGACCTTAAACAATAGAAACCGTCTACTACATTCTTGATAGTCGACACAAATAGAAATGCTTATATGATTATCTTCCAGTCCCAAGGACATTGTGCTAAGCACTTTTACTGCAGCTAGCATGTACCTCTCTCTATTCGACTCTATTTATTACATTATTCTACTTGGTCTTGCTTTTTGTGGTTTCGTTGCAAATTTTGTCTTGCTGTATATGATTGTTAAAAAAAGTCCGAATCAACTGTCACCGTACCGAATATTTCTCGGCAACACAGCACTTACGCAGTTATTACTTACGGTCAACATAGCCATAGTTGCGCCAAGGTTAGTGCACTCATCGTAGAAAAAGTGAAACTAAAGGGGAAAAGGAAAAAAGAAGTGATTGCTTAGGCGTTACGTACAAGCTCTTAATCTTCCTTCAATACATCTGTTTATAATAAAGCCTGCATGTGCAGGAATAGTTGTTGTTCTCGTTTGACGGTAATAAACGAACCTTATCCATTCAGATTCATTACGTAAGACATTTATATTCGTAAACACTGTTTTTTTTTCACTGGGAAAGAGCATTTTCCAAATGAGCTGTTAAAAGGCCTGAATGTTTGACCATAGTTCAACTAACACCAATATCATCCAATATCGTTTGCGGCTGATTCCCTCATTCTCTTTCTTCCAATTTACAAGATTTCAGTCGCCAAACTTTCTTGCAAAATGCCCTGAATAAACATTCGCACACTACAAGACATAGCTTGTTTACCTTCTCTAAATCTTTGCATGCTTTATCTTTTATATTCACATTACCCTTGATTGGTTTTTAGACTTTAGCACTGCTAAACTGCATGGCAACCGGATCGCCTTAGACATGCTTAATGTTTCAGACGGTTAGAGGTAGCAGAGGCGGACTTTCCAATAAAATTGAGCTTCAATGCTTTTTCTTCCAAGAAGACCAGAGGGAGTAGAAACACACATGGTACATTGTATAGCTCATAGATATAAAAAACTTCAAACTTTGAGAAAACTTTTAAGGCATGCTAGGCAACTGACCAGTCAGTGCAGCGTTAAAGGCAGCGTCCAGGCAGATCTGGACCTATGGGGATTTGAAGTGGAAAGTACCTTTGGGGCCCTAACTGAGGCACTGCCTAAGCGGCAGCGCAGGTAGTGCTCTAACGGCCGAGATATTCCCCTGGAAACTGGACCCCGCGATCGTATTCGCATGGATTCATGACAGTTTCGCGCCAGGATCCACGCTTTGCGCCATGAATTTATGCGAAATAGGATCGCGAGGTCCAGTTTCGAGAGAAATATCTCAGCCGTTAGAGCACTACCTGAGCTGCCGGTTGGGCAGTGGCTTAGTTAGGGCCCCAAAATTACTATTCACGTGAGATCCCATGTGTCCAGACTTGCCTGGACGCTGCCTTTAATCCAGCAGCAGCCTTGCTAGGTAGCTAGAACAAGCTACGAGCTCAAGGTCGCAGCTCACTGGCAGTTTTCTCAATGTAACAAGAAGTCAACAGAAAACCAGTCGACGTTCACCTCACCCTTCTGATCGTTGTTCAATTTGTCTGAGCACGAGTCCGTCCACCAGGTACATGAGCAAAGTCTCTTCCAAAAAGGAAAAGTGATTAGGCAAACCTTTTTCTAGAGAAAGCTCTGAAAGCACCACTTCGCTTGTAGTCGGGTGCACGAAAAGCCCATGGAAGCTACAAGGGCACACGAGACTGGCGCTGATCGGGATTCTGGCTTTAGTCCTTATCTCAATGATTAGCTTGCTCAGTTAACTGCCATGCAAAATGAAAGCTGCTGGTCAGCTATGATGCCTTCATAGCCGATAAGACAGCAGAGATTATGACAACTTCAAAAAACTAAAATTAAGGATACCACTTGAGAGTGATCGCTTATTGGATGACATAAGCAGTCGCTGACTACCATTAATTGTTGTTGTTGTTATTGTCATTGATTGTTATATGAGGACATTCGCTAACGATAGCGGTGGCAGTCGAAGTAACGCAAACAACCACTCAGATTGTTTTATGCTCTAATCTATTTGTGATTACCTATGAGCTCATTCTTGGCAAAGGAAATAGCTACAGTGACACCTCGCAAGACGCCTAAATGAAAGTATTTGACGCCTTGCCACCAAGTATGCATTTGAAAAGACGTGGTAACGCTGCCAAAGCGCTCGGTAATTCAGAGTTTGCCACGGCATTATGATATCTTATTAGGTTATCAAACATTCCGTTCGTTTCTGTCAGTTCACCAAAACTCATAGAATAGCGCGCGGCCTAGGCATTCGGCGATCATCTCGACGTTAGAAAATTCTGGGAGATTATGAAAAAGTAGGGATAGAAGAGAAGAAAAAGCTGCGTTGATTGCTTTCTTAATGCAATCCATTATCATGTGGGTTTTATTATCGTTCACGCAGACGAGACTTTCTGAGAAGTTAACAATTATGAGTTATAATATGATGAACTGAAATTGATAAAGCTCGTTGATGTTTGCTACTTTAGCTACACACATCGAGAATGAGAAATATTTACATTTGAAACACATATGTGTCCTCAATAGTTCTTTTTCAGAACACTTACCAAGGGTTTGTACATGTTATACATCTACCTTGGACCATGTCAGTATCTGGGTCCTTGGATGTGCTGCTTTCTGTACTCGTCGATGAGTAAGATTTTTAGCCGTGTTTTGATTTAATGTTTTGCAGCGTTTTTTCAG